CAGACCAGACAGACAGACCAGGACAGACAGACAGACAGACAGACAGACAGACAGACAGGACGACAAGACAGACAGACAGACCAGACAGACACAGACAGACAGACAGAACAGACAGACAGACAGACAGACAGACAGACAGAGACAGACAGACAGACAGACAGACAGACAGACAACAGACAGACAGAACAGACAGACAGGACAGACAGACAGACAGACAGACAGACAGACAGAGACAGACAGACAGACAGACACAGACAGACAGACAGACAGACAGACAGACAGACAGGACAGAGACAGAGACAGAGACAGAGACAGACAGACAGAGACAGGACAGAGACAGAGACAGAGACAGACAGACAGAGACAGACAGACAGACAGACAGACAGACAGACAGACAGACAGACAGACAGACAGACAGACAGACAGACAGACAGACAGACAGAGAGACCATTTCCTCAGCATAGAGCAGTATATTACATTATACATTACTGTGGAGGGAGAATGTGTTCTGTGAAGATTGTGAAGGCTTTAATGCAAGAATCATTTAAATGCATTTACTTTCTTTACATAAGAAAATGTAGCCTAACGCAAAATGTGCTTTGGTCTTGGAAAGCATTTCCAGTCACATAGTGATTGATGTTAATGAGTATTTCCACCATGCATATATAGCCTAGCTACTATTCGATTGGTTCTGTGGTCAAGAGCCATGTCCAAATACCTTGTGGTACTTTCTAGCTGCAGCGTTTAATAAAAAAGAGTCTCTGTCAAAAAGTAATGAAGTGAGAAAAGGCCCATTGGGTAAATAAGATTCAATGGGAGGGAGAGGATCTGACATGAAGACAAACAGAAGGGAGACTGAGGGTAGCTTTGGGGACGTGGAGATAGGTACCAGCCAATTGTAATGGTCCATATCCCAGAACTACTACCCCACTGGGTGTCTGGGGGATACACTAATGAGGGCCCCTCAGGGGCCTCCCCCGGGACCCCATCCTGGAGGGGACAGCCAGGTCACCTGACAGATGAAGTTATATATGTCTCCATCCTCCAAACGACACTGTCAGCTTCCCCAATGTCTTTATCCTGAACGGCTGGAAGAGGCAGAGTGGGCCAACCAGCGGCGTGACACGGGCGCAATCATAGGATGATGAGACTATTACTTAGCCCATCTGATGAATATATTTGAACTATGTCTAGATAAATGCATGCTGAAAGTGGTTCACATTAAATTGGCCCAGTCTCTGAACATCATAAAGATAATGACATTCGGGGATGTAACAACAGTTATCCTGCTTACTGATCTCAAATGAGTGATCATGTGCTTGACTGAACCCTGTACAGATCAATGGTCAGTGTGGATCAGGAGTGCAGAGGGTGAAGATAGACTAGGCCTGCCAAGCCTCTCCGTTAGCTCCCAGACAGAGTGTAGAGTGGTCCTAACATTAATACCAGTCAGTCTGTAGATATTGTACACACGGCCTGATCAGGTGAGGATGAAGAACAGAACAGGCAGGGGGAAAATACTCTCTCTGTTTATCTCCAGTTTCCCAATGTGAAAAACAGAAAGACATCAATTACTGCTCTTCCTCCTGGTCCTGATAAGATGCCTTATCTGGGTAAACAACGCAATATTCCTCCCATGCTGCATGTTCAATGTGTGTGTGTGTGTGGTGGTGGTGGGGGGGGGGGGGGGTGAAAAGGTGCCTGCTTTACAAATACTCCCTTCTTTACCATAAACCTCAGTGACAAATAATTAAAGGTGCTTAAATGAGATCCAGCCAGCTGCAGAGTGCTGCTATCAGACACATCCACCTCTTCCATTTATGAAATGGGTGCCACTGCCAGCAAACAGAGAGAGGGAGCTCGGCAGGGAGAGAGAGGAGGGGTACTGCTGGAGGAAGAGGGATACTGCAGTACAGCAGGCACTCAGTCTGGATGTGGGTTAAGGTTTGGCCCTATCATTTACAATAGGACTAGGAGGGAAAAGTGGGTCCTACATGGAGCATGGATCCCTCAATCAAATATCAAATTGATGTCAAAGGTACATTTTAATTAAAGCAGTTTTCATGGATACGTTTAAAACAAGCATACTTTGCTTTCTGTTGTGCTCACTGAAGCCCCATAGAGAATTAACGCAACATAGAATTAAAAACGTAACATCAATTATCCAAATCCATGATTGGATCTCATACAGTGGCTTGCGAAAGTATTCACCCCCCTTGGCATTTTTCCTATTTTGTTGCCTTACAACCTGGAATTAAAATGGATTTTTGTGGGTTTGTATCATTTGATTTACACAACATGCCTACCACTTTGAAGATGCAAAATATTTTTTATTGTGAAACAAACAACAAATCTTGAGCGTGCATAACTATTCACCCCCCCAAAGTCAATACTTTGTAGAGCAACCTTTTGCAGCAATTACAGCTGCAAGTCTCTTGGGGTATGTCTCTGTAAGCTTGGCACATCTAGCCACTGGGATTTTTTCCCACTCTTCCAGGCAAAACTGCTCCCGCTCCTTCAAGTTGGATGGGTTCTGCTGGTGTACAGCAATCTTTAAGTCATACCACAGATTCTCAATTGGATTGAGGTCTGGACATTTAAATGTTTCCCCTTAAACCACTTGAGTGTTGCTTTAGCAGTATGCTTAGGGTCGTCGTCTTGCTGGAAGGTGAACCTCCGTCCCAGTCTCAAAGCTCTGGAAGACAAACAGGTTTCCCTCAAGAATTTCCCTGTATTTAGTGCCATCCATCATTCCTTAAATTCTGACCAGTTTCCCAGTCCCTGCCAATGAAAAACATCCCCACAGCATGATGCTGCCACCACCATGCTTCACTGTGGGGATGGTGTTCTCAGGGTGATGAGAGGGGTTGGGTTTGTGCCAGACATAGCGTTTTCCTTGATGGCCAAAAAGCTCAATTTTAATCTCATCTGACCAGAGTACCTTCTTCCATATGTTTGGGGAGTCTCCCACATGCCTTTTGTCGAACACCAAATGTGTTTGCTTATTTTTTTCTTTAAGCAATGGCTTTTTTCTGGCCACTCTTCCGTAAAGCCCAGCTCTGTGGAGTGTACGGCTTAAAGTGGTCCTATGGACAGATACTCCAATCTCCGCTGTGGAGCTTTACAGCTCCTTCAGGGTTATCTTTGGTCTCTTTGTTGCCACTGATTAATGCCCTCCTTGCCTGGGCTGTGAGTTTTGGTGGGCGGCCCTCTCTTGGCAGGTTTGTTGTGGTGCCATATTCTTTCCATTTTTTAATAATGGATTTAATGGTGCTCCGTGGGATGTTCAAAGTTTCAGATATTTTTTTATAACCCAACCCTGATCTGTACTTCTCCACAACTTTGTCCCTGACCTGTTTGGAGAGCTCCTTGGTCTTCATGGTGCCGCTTGCTTAGTGGTGTTGCAGACTCTGGGGCCTTTCAGAACAGGTGTATATATACTGAGATCATGTGACAGATCATGTGACACTTAGATTGCACACAGGTGGACTTTATTTAACTAATTATGTGACTTCTGAAGGTAATTGGTTGCACAGGGGGTGAATACATATGCACGCACCACTTTTCCGTTATCTATTGTTTTGAATTTTTTTCATTTCACTTCACCAATTTGGACTATTTTGTGTATGTCCATTACATGAAATCCAAATAAAAATCAATTTAAATTACAGGTTGTAATGCAACAAAATAGGAAAAAAACGCCAAGGGGGATGAATCATTTTGTAAGGCACTGTAAATGTATCTGCGAATGTTATGCAACTGAGAGGAGGCAGAATGTAGTGTAGGCCTGCAAGCTGAAGCCATACAAATATACTAACAACAAGCTATTAAGGGTTGAGTTGTTTTGGTAATTACTTTGTTCCTTGACTTCACGTCTATGTTTTTATGTCAATGGAGTGAGAAGCAGCTAAACTACCATCTTTACCTTTTTGGATTTCTCAATTTTACTCCCAATCAGCACGGGTTTATTGAGTCGAAAAAGCAATCACATCCTTGTCAGAGCCCCGATAAAGCGAATACAGTAATGGAATGCTTTTAAGGGTAAAAAGGAAAAACTAATTATGATAAAGGACTTAAGTTCTTGCTTTATCACACGGTATTGAAAATGTTGGCTGACAGTGATAAACCTTTACAGGTAGCATTACGACGCTCTGTCACTACCACTTCCCAGCGTTCCCTCAAACGCAGCGCTCTCTCTCGCTCTCCCTGCCCAGTTAAAAAGGGATATCAGGTGTCATAATGATGAGTCTCATAACTGCTATATATGCGTAGTATTCCAGAGAGGGAGAGAAGTGGTTCTGTCTATTAATACCTAAAGCATGCCTCTCCATCCTCTCTCGCTGTGCTAATCTCAGCCTGATGCGTTACATTTCAACACCACTATCATACCTCGCACAAATGTCCAACTATTACATTTTTCATTACAACTACTGTGGTTCTTCCACTTCCAGGCCCTGAAACAATTTAAAATAAAATACATTACAGAAGTGCTGAACATTTTTGCCTTGAGGTGTTAATGGTATTGAGGCCAAGGCTCACTTTGTTCAATGAGAAAATCTGTAACAACAACAACATGTGGGATTTCACCGTTTTCAGAGAAGATCTGAACATAAATATGTAAAAGTGAAGAGGATAAAGATGTCTGTATTAAAAACACAGCAATTGATGCATACTGCATTAGTGCAATCTATTTAAAAAATGATTTTACCTATGGATTATACAGACCACACTCAGATATCCTCACACTGATGTTTTCTAAATGATCAGCTCACTGAATACGTCCAACACAGTACCGTAATGATAGTTGTCAACCCCTCTACTCATATGGCAAGTGGCAAACCTCTTCCTCTCCGTGGGTAATATGTTGTGAAATAGTGCCCTCTGCTGGTAAAGATATATACTTGCAACCAGGCTGAGAAGTCACATCAACCTCTGGACAGTAAAAAGGACGAATGCAAGCAAAGAAAAATAGGACGGGGATCTGGATGTCTTGCAAATTATTATGTTCGTCGACACCTGCCCTTCTTGTTAAATAATGTTTTAATTGTACTCACCACTCTGCGATTCCTGGCCTTGTAGTCAATGTGCAGGTCTCCATGGTTCTGCAGAGCTCTATCCAGCGACGACTTCAAGTCTATGGCACGTCTGAGGAGCGGTTCTGGCACACCTGCCTTGGTGAAAACCTTAGGAGAAAGTAACCAACATTATCATCAAGCAGACCTGGAGCATGTAGACAGGTCCTAAATGACCATTATTTTGGTTTATCCATGTTTGATGATTGAGAACATCTTGACTGGCTGCATCACTGCTTGGTATGGCAACTTCAAGGCTAATGCAAGGCACTACAGAGGGCAGTGAGAACAGCCCAGTACATCACAGAGGCAGAGCTCCCTGCCATCCAGGACCTCTATATTGGGCAGTGTCAGAAGAAGGGCCAAAAAGTTCTCAAAGACTCCAGCCACCCAAGCCATAGACTGTTCTCTCTGCTACCGCACAGCAAGCGGTACCAGTGCACCAAGTCTGGAACCAACAGGACCCACATATACTTACACTGACACCCCAACACATACACACACACTAGTCTCTACCCACACACTCAAACATACTTACACCCCAACACACACACTACATATGCCCACACACACATAACATGCACACACATGCATTCTGATGCCACACACACACATTCACCATATAGGCTGACGTTACTGTATATTATCTATCCTGTTGCCTAGTCAATTTATCCCTACCTATATGTACATACAGTGGGGAGAACAAGTATTTGATACACTGCCGATTTTGCAGGTTTTCCTACTTACACAGCATGTAGAGGTCTGTAATTTTTATCATAGGTACACTTCAACTGTGAGAGACGGAATCTAAAACAAAAATCCAGAAAATCACATTATGATTTTTAAGTAATTCATTAGCATTTTATTGCATGACATAAGTATTTGATACATCAGAAAAGCAGAACTTAATATTTGGTACAGAAACCTTTGTTTGCAATTACAGAGATCATACGTTTGCTGTAGGTCTTGACCAGGTTTGCACATACTTCAGCAGGGATTTTGGCCCACTCCTCCATACAGACCTTCTCCAGATCCTTCAGGTTTCAGGGCTGTCGCTGGGCAATACGGACTTTCAGCTCCCTCCAAAGATGTTCTATTGGGTTCAGGTCTGGAGACTGGCTAGGCCACTCCAGGACCTTGAGATGCTTCTTACGGAGCCACTCCTTAGTTGCCCTGGCTGTGTGTTTCGGGTCGTTGTCATGCTGGAAGACCCAGCCACGACCCATCTTCAATGCTCTTACTGAGGGAAGGAGGTTGTTGGCCAAGATCTCGCGATACATGGCCCCATCCATCCTCCACTCAATACGGTGCAGTCGTCCTGTCCCCTTTGCAGAAAAGCATCCCCAAAGAATGATGTTTCCACCTCCATGCTTCACGGTTGGGATGGTGTTCTTGGGGTTGTACTCATCCTTCTTCTTCCTCCAAACACGGCGAGTGGAGTTTAGACCAAAAAGCTCTATTTTTGTCTCATCAGACCACATGACCTTCTCCCATTCCTCCTCTGGATCATCCAGATGGTCATTGGCAAACTTCAGACGGGCCTGGACATGCGCTGGCTTGAGCAGGTGGACCTTGCGTGCGCTGCAGGATTTTAATCCATGACGGCGCAGTGTGTTACTAATGGTTTTCTTTGAGACTGTGGTCCCAGCTCTCTTCAGGTCATTGACCAGGTCCTGCCGTGTAGTTCTGGGCTGATCCCTCACCTTCCTCATGATCATTGATGCCCCACGAGGTGAGATCTTGCATGGAGCCCCAGACCGAGGTTGATTGACCGTCATCTTGAACTTCTTCCATTTTCTAATAATTGTGCCAACAGTTGTTGCCTTCTCATCAAGCTGCTTGCCTATTGTCCTGTAGCCCATCCCAGCCTTGTGCAGGTCTACAATTTTATCCCTGATGTCCTTACACAGCTCTCTGGTCTTGGCCATTGTGGAGAGGATGGAGTCTGTTTGATTGAGTGTGTGGACAGGTGTCTTTTATACAGGTAACGAATTCAAACAGGTGCAGTTAATACAGGTAATGAGTGGAGAACAGGAGGGCTTCTTAAAGAAAAACTAACAGGTCTGTGAGAGCCGGAATTCTTACTGGTTGGTAGGTGATCAAATACTTATGTCATGCAATAAAATGCAAATTCATTACTTAAAAATCATTCAATGTGATTTTCTGGATTTTTGTTTTAGATTCCGTCTCTCACAGTTGAAGTGTACCTATGATAAAAATTACAGACCTCTACATGCTTTGTAAGTAGGAAAATCTGCAAAATCGGCAGTGTATCAAATACTTGTTCTCCCCACTGTAGCTACCTCAATTACCTCGTACCCCTGCACATCGACTAGGTACTGGTACTCCCTGTATATAGCCATGTTATTACCTGGTACTTCCTGTATATAGCCATGTTATTACCCGGTAGTCCCTGTATATAGCCATGTTACTACCCAGTACTCCCTGTATATAGCCATGTTATTACCTGGTACTCCCTGTATATAGCCATGTTATTACCTGGTACTCCCTGTATATAGCCATGTTATTACCTAGTACTTCCTGTATATAGCCATGTTACTACCCAGTACTCCCTGTATATAGCCATGTTATTACCTGGTACTCCCTGTATATAGCCATGTTACTACCCTGTACTCCCTGTATATAGCCATGTTATTACCCAGTATTCCCTGTATATAGCAATGTTATTACCTGGTACTTCCTGTATATAGCCATTTTATTACCTGGTACCAATGTGCCGGAGGAAACACTGTACAACTGGCGACCGTGTCAGCGCACATGCGCCCGGCCCGCCACAGGAGTCGCTAGAGAACGATGGGACAAGGACATCCCGGCCGGCCAAACCCTCCCCTAACCCTCCCGCTCGCGGCTGGCTGCAACACAGCCCGGGATCAAACCCGGGTCTGTAGTGACGCCTCAAGAACTGCGAACAACTCTGCATTGTTGGAAAAGGATTCGTAAGTAAGCATTTCACTGTTAGTCTACACTAACAGTGACATCAGTTGAATTTGAATGGTTCTACTGGATCCTAATGAAGCCCTACCTGAACCCAGGACTGGACGACAGGCAGGTGTTTAGTGCTGAGCAGTTTGTGCAGTTCCTTCATGGTGTTCACCACTGCTTCGTTCTCCTCTGTCTCCTTTAACTTTAAATCTGTGGGGATTGAGGGAAACTACTGAAAGGTGACAGTCCTTCCCTGTCTGGCACATTTTAAAAAACAGCACGTTTTATTCAGTGTGGTCTTTTGGAAATGTTGATTAGAACTCTTTCGAGAATTAGGTTAAACGTTATGTGGGTTCCTATAGGTGTAACTGTCCTGTGTGAATGACTACCCACCTGTGGAGAGGTTAAAGGTTATGTGTGTTCCTATAGGTGTAATTGTCCTGTGTGAGTGACTACCCACCTGTGGACAGGTTCAGGTCCAGGCTGTATTTGTGAGATATGAGTCCTGTGTTGCGTATGAATGCATCTTCATCCAGAACCTCTTCCATATCACTCTCTTCTTCACTAGAATTCTCTTCCTCCTTCTCGTCATTGGTTTTCGTTGCTGTACTTGTCTCTGGATTCTTGGTTTCCCTCTCGACCTCCAGGTCTTTACTACAACAGGGCTGTTTGTCTAGGTCACTGGAGGTGCTAGCCTTCTCATTAGGTACAGAAGAGACAGAAGCGGTTGAATTATTGGCTGGAGTTGTGGTATCTAGGTCACTGAGGTCAAACTCTGCAGGCAGAAGCAACTTCATGCAGTTGTTTATCTCTGTTAGGCACTCTTCAATCTCTTCTGAGGCATCTGAGAAGAAGCAACAACACATAGAAAAGTTATACATTAGCTACACTCATTGCATGAAAAGCCTGAACCCAGTGTATGTAAGAAGTGATACAATATTAAAAAAAAAAAGTATTATCAATAGAATTATTATATTGATAATAAATAAAAACAATAGTAATAATATATAAGGTGTGCACCTTCCATTTCCTTGGTGGCCTTTTCAACTTTGTCTTTATAAATCCTCTCCAGTCGTTTCTGTCTCTCCTCCTCTCGTTTCCTTTCAGCTAGTGTTCTGGCCTGAACATCATGAAAATCCACCTGAAAGGAACACAAACAAACAATATTATTGCACAACAGCACTTCATTTACTTATTTTACTGTGACCTTTGAAATGATCTAATAGGGTAATCATCCTTCTTACCTTTTTAACCTGCTTGAGAAAGTGGTAGCCCAAGGCCAGTTTCTTATAGGCCTCTCCGTAAGTGGCCTGCCATTCCTGCACGGTTTTGATGGCAACGGTCTTCAGCTTTCGGGCCACCTCTTTGGGTGGTGGCAGAGGCTCATCTGAGTCCGTCTCCACTGTCAGGTCCAGAAACTCCTGGAAGTTGTCCACCAGCAGGACCCTGAAGTGGTGTGAGCGGGTGAAGAGCTCACTGACCATCTGGAAGGCTGACAGGCGAATCTCGGCATGCTCCTTGGCCAGCTGCGTCATGACCAGGTGGTAGAAGTGCTCAATGTAGTCGTTGGAAACTCTGTCAGAGGAGAAGTTGTGTTTGACAGAATTAAATTGTACTCATTTGTATGTAAAGCTGAAGCCGGAATAAGTAAATTAGCTATAGGAAAAAACGTCATACTTGCATATCTTTTTCACTTCCTTCAGTTTATTTGGATTTAGTTGTGGTTCCCCAGATGTGGTCAACTCTTCCACGAGCTCTGACAACTTGTCTCGTTGTGCGTGGTCCATCCTTTTACCTGAAGCGCTGGGAGAGAAACCACGAATAGTAACGGTAGTAGGCAAGTTAGCACAAATGTCAAAACAAACCAGAAGCAATGTAGCTAACAGTGACACCCCTGAGTATACTTGAATTAAAGTGGTAGCTAATGACATTTAAAGAGGCTAGATAAAAAACGAGCTATATGCTAGCTAGCAAATATGTAAACAAAGACCACTTCACGAGCGAGACACATACTAACTCCAGTACAGTACGTCCACATAGATTTCCTTTCCAAATATTTTATGAAGAATGCACGAAAATTGTATTTAATCATGATATGAAAGATATGAAAGACATTGCTGGCTGCTACAGTGTCCGGTCTTCTAGCTACTGTAGCAAAGACTTCTAGCTAGCTAGCTCCTCCTGAGTGCCTGTCATGCTGAGCATGCGTCGCCCGGCCTTATCCAATCAGCTTCTTCAAACAAAACACAGTGACTTCCGGTCAGGAATTTCTACGCGTTCAGCAGGGCACAATATCCTGAGAGGATCCCTGTGAATAGTAGATCTGTTCCAGCACAGCGGGATAGACCATGATAGATATATGCTTCAGGTTGTCTTCTTGGCGTTCATAGCAATGGTTATCTACTACAAAACCATGGTGCTTGCCTACGGAGCTGTGAGAGGAACGGCACCTCCTTACCTCCAGGCTCTGATCAGACCCTACACCCAAACGAGGGCACTACGTTCATCCACCTCTGGCCTGCTAGTCCCCTACCTCTACGGAAGCACAGTTCCCGCTCAGCCCACTCAACGCTATTCGCTGGTCTGGCACCCCAATGGTGGAACAAGCTCCCCCACGACAGCGGAGTCACTGACCACCTTCCGGAGACACTTGAAACCCTACCTCTTTAAGGAATACCTGGAATAGTATAACAGTAATCCTTATACCCCCCCCCCATAAAAAAAGGGTGGTTGTCCCCCTGGCTATCCTAAATTGAATGCACGAATTTGTAAGTCGCTCTTACATTGTGGTGGCAGCTGCAGAGGAGTACTTGGGTGTACGAGATTTGACTTCAGAAGTTACAGGGTGTTTTGAGTGGTGGTGTCCGGTCCTGCCTGGTGTAGGACCATAACGGGTTGATATTAGTGGAATAGGGTGGTGGATTTTTTATTAGGGTACATTTCTTCCTCATTTTGTGTCACAAAGTATAATTGATTTATACACCAGTCCAGTTGGTGGCGGTAAAATGCAACATATTGGATGCCAAACGCCATAAAATCTCATTGAAGAAAAGAAGCAGGACACACCCAAATACAGTACAGTATGAACACACGATAGAACAATGAGACAGATATTTGACCGGATGTATAAATGTGAAGCATCCGCTTAGCGGTTCCACTCACTACCAAATGTGGTAGTAAGTTTTGTAGACTTTACCCTTTGCAAAAGTTTAGGAGTGCAAAGGCGAATTGAGTTATTGCAGACGCGCCCTTTACGAGGAGGCGTTCCCTAACGGAAATATGCAGATGTCTGCTAGAATGCGCCAATAGGATCGCTAGCTCGTGCTTGGCTCTGCCCACCTCCTTGCTTGTTCAGCCCACTATGACTCGTTTGTTCCCATTAGAAACCATTGGTTTAGTTATAAAAAATATTTGGTATGAAGGCAGGCAGAAACTGATTCTCCACTAGAAATCCCCGATCAAACTTGTAGGCGATGTGAAACTCATGCGTAGTAACACGTAATCGGGTCTAACGGTCGTCTCGCGCCGAACTGCGCATGTGCAAACCGTCAACTCAAAAGTTTGTCACTTTCACGTGGTTGGAGTAATACAATGTTCAACTACTTACGACAATGTCTCGAATCTAGGTTTTGCCTTTAGATTAAGAGAAAATTGACAATTAAGGAAGAATTTTCCACTTCTCTCATTGATTTCTGAAACCCCAAACTCTGGCTTGGTCTGTTTCGCAACCGTTCCCGGATGTCTCGCGATGTTGCGCCTCCGTGTTTAGAAACTCTGTAACACGTTTTGGAACGTTCAGATAGATGTTATGTAGAACAAACATGCCTCTGACATAGACAAGAAATCAGGTACTACTCTAATTATGGCATTTCTATCTGCGACGTTCGAGAACGTTTTGCCAACTGAACGTGGCCCTGTTTCAGGAAGTGTTCATGTTCAAACCTTAGTCTATTACTGTCAATGGTTCAACCCGTTGACGTTTTAAGTTTCCATGTGGTTCCTTAAACATATGCTAATGTCAACCCAATTGTCATAAACAACCATTCTTTAATAGTAGGAATATTAATACTACAAGGAAAATCAATGTCAGTGTTCCATTCTCAGACTACAGATATGCCATGGACCAATCCGCGTATTCATCACTCACTATCATATTCAGTCTGATAACGCAGCACACCAACGTTTATGGAGATGTGTTGGGTGGAGAGAAAGAAAGACAGGAACCAATTGTAGTTATCTTTTATCAGCAATCGGTCATGAACAATCAATCTATCCTACCAATATAAACATGCATGCTCAGTTTCTAAACGGTCTCTCGACAATAACAATACTAAACAGTTCAGAAGCAACCAGCCAAGATGAAGAAAAAGTGGGATAGATGGTAGGTACTGAATCATATGGTAAGATTACCCGTGGTAATCTCAAGGAACAACTTGGACCAACTGTAGCCCCTTGTGAAATCTGCAGCAATTTGTGTTAGTCATACAAAATGTCTTAAAATCAGCACTAGATCATAAAAAATGAAGAGCAAAAAAATATCATAATTATCCTCTTTAATTACAATGCACAATGTTAATCGTTGAAAAACATGAAATTAAAAGATAGAATAATTGAGTATTTTGAATTGACTATATCAGAGTTGTATAACTAAATCAATATAAAAAGTAGTGATGAATTAACCCATCCATTTGTTGGTGGGGAAAAGATTATGCATCTCCAATCTTCACACACAAACTATGAAGACCACTGGTTAATACAAAACACTGGAAAAAGGTAAGTCTTTTGTAAACTCTACTATATTAGATCATTTGTCAATGTCTTCTTCAGGTGGTGAGAAGACCTGGCATGTTCCCTTGCAAGACACAAATCCACTATGATACACAAAAGTGTATAGAGTATACTGTAGGTCTGTGTGCAAGGTTGCCATGACATACCCCAAGCAACAACAGTGTGCTTGTTCATGTCTGATCAGTGGAAGGTCTATGGAGTTCATAAAATGTTTCTCATTAACATTTTGAGAGACCTGAATCTGTACACAAATGATCAATTCTCTAGTATTTACAAGATCGAGTGTATGGTCCCAGATCTGCAATCACAGATTTCACAGGGGGGGACAAACACAACATGACCAATTTCAAATAATTTCTATTTATTGCCCTCCCCCCAACATGGCTACATAGAAATGATGTAAATTGTGCGCATCATGAAATTAGTGCCATTATGTAGCAAATACCTATGTGGTCAGCCTGTAAGTCTGAAGTAAGTCTGGTTTAACTAAGGTAAAAGGCAGAAACTCCTGTTATGTTATTGGAGCAATACAGAGTTATAACGCACCACACTACCGGTTGGACTCTAGGTTAAAATAAAAGTCAAAACATCAACACTTTAAAAACAAAAGTCTTAATTAATTAGTCCAGTTTCACAAATCTGCCCAAGGTGATTTGGGACTATTCTCCATAGTGGGAGGCAGGTTTGGCAGGTCGAGGACGAGAGGTCGGTAGGTGGGCTGTGGGGTGATTTCGGCTCAGTCACATGGTGGAGCATTGCCATTGGGGCTAGAGGTTCTGCTGGGGGATCCACTGCACTCAGACTGGACCAGCTGGTCATAGTAGAGCAGGTGTATCCATCACATCACATGATGTACACCTTCTCAGCTTGGGAGAAGCTGAAGACTTCTTTGGTTCTGGGGCAGATCACCTTGTCATCTTGACGAATGGATAGAAGAGACTGGAGAAAGGAAGGACAAATGATTAAAATGAATAATGAATTTAAACAATGATTATTACTCCATTGCAAAGATAAAATGTGTGAGATGTAGAGACTCACATTGTATCCGTACACATAGCCGTTGGGCAGCATCATGGGTGGGTTGTTCTCATTCATCACCTCCCCAGAGATTTTGCACACCAGACGGGAGTTGGCACAGTGTGCCATGGGCAGGGGCTGGGCCAGTTTGTTCAGGGACTTGCTGCACACGGGGCAGTCAGGGTTTTTAGAGGTGCCATCCTCCTTATAGCACTGACTAGGAGCAGAAAGGTTAAGGGCTAAAATTGTCTTTCACTTTACATTCCAGTACTTAACAGCTGGAGGTCTTTGGCAGAACACATTGAGCCTTGAATTTTATGTATGTCTGATGTGCAGTTTTGGATACGTAATTACAGAGAGACCTGGCCATCGCAACCAAAAGGAGACAATGTGCATCACCAAAACAAGCAGATGACAAGAGCACTACATGTTACTGGCTGAAACAGCTAAACTAAGGACCACAGAGCAGTGACCAGAAAAGATACGGAGTTTTGATAGCAGACAGACCAGCCTGGAGGGTGATGGTAAACACAGAGTTGTTGCCCAGCTGATGTAATCTGTAGTTGTCGTATCTGAACTGTTGGATCAGCATTTTCCAGCGGGCAGGGTCCAGGAGATCCTGTGAGGGTTGATGGACAAAGAGATAATCAGACTGATCACAGGCCTGCAGTATTCCAACATACACAACGGCATATGCACACTACAGGCTAGGGCATTACTACGGTATTACCTTATAAGGGGAGATATGGGTGTCTGAGGGGAACGCCAGCATGCCCATCACCTGCCGCACCTCGTCCAGCTGACCCCCCTCTGCTTGACTGAAGTGCTTCCGTGCATGTCTGTGAAAAACATGGATCATGATTGTTCTCATTTTAACTATAAATGTGTCTCAACGTTAACCTGAATATTTTATTACAGGATGTGCAATGTCAGCAGAAACGGTTTCCTACCTGACGGCGTCCATGCGCTTGTTCTGTCGGATGAGCTCGATAAACTCCTGGATTCGCAGACTAAACTCTAAGCAGCTCTGGAAGGGGAAGCATCAATGAGTTAATATGTAAATATAATGTACAAGACATGTATGAAAATTTATGCACTCACTAACTGTAAGTCGCTCTGGATAAGAGCGTCTGCTAAATGACTAAAATGTAAAAAAATAAATGTAAATCATGATCTACTAACAGACATGGCATAATCTCCTGCCTCACCTTCATCTTGCGGAGGCGTGACTTGTTGTCATGACACCAGGCCAAACAGGTGGCGGTTTCCTGTCGCTCCAGTGACTCCTCCACCTCTTTCGCTGTGAGGAACATCTCAATGTTGACCAGGTCCTGAAGGACAGGGAGAAAGCGGGGTCATATTAAATAGAGACACCACACAGCAAATGTAGTTCTCTAAACAATTACAATGCTAGGAGCCATTGGAGATACTACCAAAGACTCTTGCTGTAAAGAATAAGGAACTATATGTAGTATCCATGCATATAAGATGACATATTGACGGATAGAAGTGGGACGCACCTCGATGCCACTTTGCCGTGCCAGTTTGACCGCTGTGTTGTAATAGCCACACCGCAGCAAGTGTTCTACCATCATGCGGTCCATTCGTTTCTTCTTCCAGACGTTGACGCCCGCTGGCTGGTCGCTGCTGTGTTCCTTCAGGTGTTCAATCCTCCGCTTACACAGCTTAGCGCTCTCATCCTCCGCCTGGATGGACTCAGCAGCCTATCCAACATTCACATGTTCTATACTTACTGCATACAGTACTGGATCTCTGCTCTGCTGGGTCCTCTTTATTTTATTTGACTGCTTCGATTAATTTATGTTGATAAATCATTGTTTTTTTAAATCCCTCAATAAACATGTACAAGATTTGACAAGTGCTTAAGAAATTTGCAAATGTGAAGTTGGCTGAAATATTGGTAGCTAAGCTATCTGGGGTTGAACGAGGAACACTGTAAATAAAAAAAACTCTGCACAGCAACATTCCAATGCTAACTGTTCAGAGCGCAACTGTCTGAACCTACCTTCCTCTTCAGGGCACTGAGCTTCTCCACCACCCCATCCAGAAGGGACACCACAGAGTCCACCACTGGGAAACTGCTGAGGGTCTTCTCCAGCTCTGCCACCACCATGGTTACGTGACTCGTCTCCCGGTCAATGTTCTTCTGTGCAGCTCTGAAGCGCTTGTTCAGAGTTTCATATGGTACCTGTACATATGATCAATGCAAAAGCTACGTGATGTGGTTTCTGTAGTCCATTCTGACCATTTAGGGTTCATTATTTGGCTGAAGTTTCCAATTATTTGATCTATACCTTGCTGAGATAACCTCCAATTGTGTACAAAACATTATGAACACCTGCTTTTTCCATGACAGACTGACCAGATGAAAGCTACACTATATATACACAGCAGTATGTGGACACCCCTTCAAATTAGTGGATTCGGCCATTTCAGCCACACCCGTTACTGACAGGTGTATAAAGTCGAGCACACAGCCATGCAATCTTCATAGACAAACATTGGCAATAGAAAGGCTCAGTGACTTTCAACGTAGCAGAGTCATAGGATGCCACCTTTCCAACAAGTCAGTTCGTCAAATTTCTGCCCTGCTAGAGCTGCCCCAGTCAACTGTAAGTGCTGTTATAAATGGGTTTCCATGGCCGAGCAGCCGAACACAAGCCTAAGATCACCATGCGCAATGCCAAGAATCGGCTGGAGTGGTGTAACGCTCGCCGCCAATGGACTCTGGAGCAGTGGAAACGCATTCTCTGGAGTGATGAATCACGCTTCACCATCTGGTAGTCCGAAGGACGAATCTGAGTTTGGTGGATGTCAGGAGAAAGCTACCTGCCCCAATGCATAGTGCCAACTGTAAAGTTCGGTGGAGGAGGAATAATGGTCTGGGGCTGTTTTTCATGGTTTGGGCTAGGCCCCTTAGTTCCAATGAAGGGAAATGTTAGCGCTACAGCATACAATGACAAACTAGACGATTCTGTGCTTCCAACTTTGTGGAAACAGTTTTGGGGAAGGCCCTTTCCTGTTTCAGCATGACAATGCCCCCATGCACAAAGCGAGGTCCATACAGAAATGGTTTGTCAAGATCGGTGTTGAAGAACTTGACTGGCCTGCACAGACCCTTGACCTCAACTCCATCGAATACCTTTGGAATTAATTGGTACGCCGATAGCGAGCCAGGCCTAATCACCCAACATCAGTGAGCGATCTCACTAATGCTTTGTGGCTGAATGGAAGCAAGTCCCCACAGCAATGTTCCAACATCTAGTGGAAAGCCTTCCCAGAAGAGTGGAGGCTGTTATAGCAGAAAAGGGGGGACCAACTTTGATAGCAAGAGTCACATTTCACTTTACATCTGGTAAGTAGAGTTCCTAGAGATTATACATATGCCTTTGTTGACAGGAAACCTTTTTTGGTGTAGCGGGCTATATTTTGGTTGGGTTATTTTCCGTTGCCACCCACCAGAATGATTCACAACTCAGGGAGTCCAACCAATAGACTCCCGATAGTGTGTCCTAAAGCTACTAAGGCCTCAGCTCTGATAATATCAATCATGTCTTATTATGCGAATTAACGTAACAACCACTCAAATGGCTTAGAACTACTCTTACAATCCTAATTTAATTAAATGAATATTCAGATAAAATGGCGACTAAGAAAGCAAACATACGGTCGTCTAGCAGCAGCCACAGAACAATAAGTGTCGCAGTGTGATATGGCTGCAGACTGGACCTTCTCAGCCATATTGTAATGTCGAGGTAGTACTTTGATGTCATTGCGCTGGTTAGCGAACTTCTAAAAATTTGTATAGCTATAGTTAGTCACTGACCACGTAAATACCATAATTATACAGTTGTAAACGATCAACTGACTAGAATTCATGTCGCTTTGGATTTGCGACTAACTTAGTTAGCTTGCATGCTAGCTACATCTGAATATTTTTGGTGACGCTGTACTTCACAGCTGGAGAGGAACCATCCTTGTCATGGCATGTTGATTTCATAGGTACGCAATACTAGCTAACGGCTAGCTATGTTGAATTTGGAAACAAACGTGGATAGCTAACGTTCAGTTAATTAAATTGATTTAAGGTAGACATGTTAGCTTTCAAATCTGCGTCAGTGACAGAGGAAACGTGTTCACACACGAGCTGGCCATCCAATTCCAAGTAACGTTAACGTTATTGCGTGCAGCTTGATGAATTGCTGACTTCACACGCCACGGAATATGGTCGGACAGAGAACCAGCTAAAGCTAGCTAGCCTATCCGACAGGTATCAGCTGATTAAGCTGGCTGGCTGGCTAGCTAGCAAGTTAGCATAAGATACGTGGCAGAATTGTATATTTTTAGATAACCACGTTTGTAAAACACCAATCTTCTCAATAATTGACAATCAACTACTGGATTGGGATGTTGTATCTGACCACCACATCATCATCATGCATCATCAAGTCTGTTCATAGCCTCAATCTGACATTTGCCCCGTTGTTTTGAACCAACTTGCCCCTGCCTGACGTCGTTAGCTAGCTAGTTAGATTGCTAGCTAATGGCCAGCCAAATGATCGGAATTAGTGCCTAGTTTGACAAATCTGAAGCTCATGCCTGCATCACGATCGGTTAGTCTTGATTTTCTTTAAAGTAAGCCATTTCAAACCTTCAAAGTGGGATACTCTTGAACCTTCAGAGCCATGGAGAGTTGGGCAGCTGTCTCTTGCACCGCCATCTTCATTTGTGAATTTCTAGGATTTTACTTGCAGTGCAAAAAAATACGTATGCTCACTACAGCCATCTAGTGTGCTGGTGTCGTCAGTAATAATATTTTTTTGGGGGGGGATAGTGTGTAGGGAAATGTCTGATAAAGGGTGAAACTATCCCAAAAAAGTGTTGCATGAAATTGGGCCCAAGCAAGATTATTTTAAATTTATTTTTGAATACGTGGTTGTACATGCGGCAGGGGTCTTAAGGACAGCTGAGAGGTCAGAGAGAGGTGAGAGAGCTAGCTGTTGGTGGTGTACATGAATGACACTGTTGACAAAACATAGGACTAGAAGGCACAATCTGTAAGATATCTTGATGTTCAATGGTCATTTCAAAATGTCTTTAAAGTTGCTCCAGATGTAATAATTTTGTCATATCTCTTTATTGAATAATGGGCTTTACATGTCATGAACTGAAGCTCAAATGTTATTTGTCACATTCTTTAAACAGCAGGTGTAGACTAACAGTGAAATGCTTACATACGGGTCCTTTAATGATAAAGATTTTATTTTTTATTTTTTTAATAGTGACACGATAAATAAATACATAGTGAATAACGAATAACAATAAAATTGAAAAATAACATGGCATACAGGGAGTACCAGTACTGAGTCGAAGTGGTACGAGGTAATTAAGATAACTACAGTGAGGGAAAAAAGTATTTGATCCCCTGCTGATTTTGTACGTTTGCCCACTGACAAATAAATGATCAGTCTATAATTTTAATGGTAGGTTTATTTGAACAGTGAGAGACAGAATAACAAACAAAAAATCCAGAAAAACCCATGTCAAAAATGTTATAAATTGATTTGGAAATAAGTATTTGACCCCCTCTCAATCAGAAAGATTTCTGGCTCCTAGGTGTCTTTTATACAGGTAACGAGCTGAGATTAGGAGCACATTCTTAAAGGGAGTGCTCCTAATCTCATCTTGTTACCTGTATAAAAGACACCTGTCCACAGAAGCAATCAAATCAATCAGATTCCAAATTCTCCACCATGGCCAAGACCAAAGAGCTCTCCAAGGATGTCAGGGACAAGATTGTAGACCTACACAAGGCTGGAATGAGCTACAAGACCATCGCCAAGCAGCTCTGTGAGAAGGTGATAAATCAATTTATAACATTTTTGACATGCGTTTTTCTGGATTTTTTGGTTGTTATTCTGTCTCTCACTGTTCAAATAAACCTACCATTAAAATTATAGACTAATCATGTCTTTGTCAGTGAGCAAACGTACAAAATCAGCAAGGGATCAAATACTTTTTTCCCTCACTGTATGTACGTATAGGTAGGGGTAAAGTGAATAGGCAACAGGATAGATAATAGACAGTAGCATCAGCCTGGGTGTGTGTGTGTGTGTGTGTGTGTGGCGTCATTATGCATTTGTGTGCATGTGATGTGTGTGTATGTGTTGGGATGTCAGTGCATTCGAAAAGTATTCAGACCCCTTGACTTTTTTCCACATTTTGTTACGTTAAAGCCTTATCCTAAAATGGATTAAATAAAACATTTCCCTCATCAGTCTACACACAATACCCCATGATGACAAAGTGAAAACAGGTTTTTAGTAATGTTTGATAATTTATAAAAAAAGAAAAAACAGAAATACCTTATTTACATAAGTATTCAGACTCTTTGCTATGAGACTCGAAATTGAGCTCATGTGCATCCTGTTTCCATTGATCATCCTTGAGTTTCTACAACTTGATTGGAGTCCACCTGTGGTAAATTCAATTGATTGGACATGATTTGGAAAGGCTCACACCTGTCTATATAAGGTCCCACAGTTGAGTGCATGTCAGAGCAAAACCAAGCCATGAGGTCACAGGAATTGTCCGTAGACCGCCAAGACAGGATTGTGTCGAGCCACAGATCTGGGGAAGGGTACCAAAATATTTCTGCAGCATTGAAGGTCCCCAAGAACACATTGGCCTCCATCGTTCTTAAATAGAAGAAATGTGGAACCACCAAGACTCTTCCTAGAGCTGGCCGCCTGGCCAAACTGAGCAATCGGGGGAGAAGGGCCTTGGTCAGGGAGGTGACCAAGAACCCAATGGTCACTCTGACAGAGGTCCAGAGTTACTCTGTGGAGATGGGAGAACCTTCCAGATGTACAACCATCTCTGCAGCCCTCCACCAATCAGGCCTTTATGGTAGAGTGGCCAGATGAAAGCCACTCCTCAGTGAAAGGCACATGACAGCCCGCTTGGAGTTTGCCAAAAGGCACCTAAAGGACTCTCAGACCATGAGAAACAAGATTCTCTGGTCTGATGAAACCAAGATTGAACTCTTTGCCCTGAATGCCAAGCGTCACGTCTGAAGGAAACCTGGCACCATCCCTACGGTGAAGCATGGTGGTGGCAGCATCATGCTGTTGGGATGTTTTTCAGTGGCAGGGACTTGAAGACTAGTCAGGATGGAGGGAAAGATGAACGGGGCAAAGTACAGAGAGGTCCTTGATGAAATCCTGCTCCAGAGCGCTCAGGACCTCAGACTGGGGCGAGGATTCACCTTCCAACAGGACAACGACCCTAAGCACACAGCCAAGACAACGCAGGCGTGGCTTTGGGACAAGTCTCTGAATGTCCTTGAGTGGCCCAGCCAGAGCCCGGATTTGAACCTGATCGAACATCTCTGGAGAGACCTGAAAATAGCTGTGCAGCGACTCTCCCCATCCAACCTGACAGCGCTTGAGAGGATCTGCAGAGAAGAATGGGAGAAACTCCCCAGATACAGGTGTGCCAAGCTTGTAGCGTCATACCCAAGAAGACTCGAGGCTGTAATCACTGCCAAAAGGTGCTTCAACAAAGTACTGAGTAAAGGGTCTGAAAACTTTCAAAAAACCTGTTTTTTCTTTGTCATTATGGGGTATTGTGTGTAGATTGATGAGGGAAAAAAACAATTTAATCCATTTTAGAATAAGGCTGTAACGTAACAAAATGTGGAAAAAGTCAAGGTGTCTGAATACTTTCCGAATGCACTGTAATTATGTGTGGGTAGAGTCCAGTGTATGTGCATAGAGTCAGTGCAATAAAGGTAGTTTAAAAAAGGGTCAATGCAGGTAGTCCAGAGTGTCCATTTGATTAGCTATTTAGCAGTCTTGTTTAACAGTCTTATGGCTTGGGGGTAGAAGCTGTACAGTGTCCTGTTGGTTCCAGACTTGGTGCACTGGTACCGCTTGCCGTGCGGTAGCAGAGAAAACAGTCTATGGCTTGGGTGGCTGGAGTTTTTGACAATTTTGCCAAGCTGTCCTTCTCAGAACCTATTGTCAATGATCACAATCCACTCAGACTTTTAATGAGTTTGTTTGCACTATGCCATTATTTCTCAATGATACAATCACATGACAATGGCAACGGATGCTGATGATCAGAAATTATCTATTTTTCAGAGCAAAAAAGAAGACCAAATCTACCTGAACATGTAAGTATACGTAATTGGTTTCAATGGCAAATCTCCTACAAAGATACACATTACTTTAAGCAGTGCACTGTCAATGTCTGAAGATAAAATAATTAACAGTACACCACCTCCTAATGTAGATTATCTATATTTTGAATGTGCATAAAACATCATGAAGAATTCCTTTCGGCAAAAGGTTCTATTGTCTGATCTAACGTGCCACTAGAAAAATATTTCCCCATACACATCTCCTTTTTCTCTTCCCCCTCCCCCCCTCTCCGCTGCATGCTCACATTTATTTTCCTGTATGAGCAAGTGAACCCTCCCCCAAGCCTGTCTAGTTGAGTAATGAGCCATATTGTGATTGGCTACTATCCAGAGGCAGCCAACCTTGATTGGCTGTCACATACCTCCTATGATTGGCCAATGCTCTGCCGCATGTTTTACCAAGCACAAGCACAGTCTGGATTTGAGACACAGAAGAGGGTGATGCAAGGTTTGTGATCGTTCCCCCCCCCCCCCCCCCCCCCAATGTTGTGGTTCCTTTGTGCCGTGTGTGGTTGTCCAGGTCACTAGGTCAGGATACAGGGCAGTGTTGTGTTCACTCAGGGAGGGGGAGTATGCTGATTGGCACTGAGAGGTGGGAAGTATGGAGATGAGAAGTCCAATCAGTTGTAAATACTGTAGTATGGTTTTTGTGTGTTTATATGTGGTCTAATACTTTGAACTGTATTGTGATGCCATTCCCAGTCCGCTTTACTGAGAGATAATGTGTGTGTATGGGAGATTTTTGTGTGTTATTACTAGGAGTCAGTAGTGCATTTTACAGTGATACGCCTGTGCTTTTTCAAGAACAAGGAGCAAGGAATTTTGAAGCAATAAACACTGAGTCCAGCACCACAGGGTTCTGATTTTCCACACCTTTAAATTCTCTTAATCGAAAAGATAGGTCTGTTGGAACCCCTGTTGGAACCCCCCCCCCCCCCCCCCCCCCCCCCCCCTCAATTCAATTCAAAGGGCTTTATTCTCTCGCACTCGCTCTCTCTCAGAAAATTATAACCAATCCAATTATACATAAGGCTGGTTCCATAAATATAACCAGCATCTGCTATTTACAGTAGACGGCATTAAGACTTGCTGTCAGTCATCAAACTAAATGTGGCCAGTGCTTTGTTTGGCCTGTGTATTTCTCTGGTCGTTGGTGGAATCCGATGTGAAGGAGCAGAACCATTAGCTACGCTGCAGTGAGTGCTGGAGAGATGGCTGCAGTCTGTGCTCAGACCATTGGCTCAGACAGTGTAATCTTCCTCTCATCTCCTTCTCTCTTTGCCCTTCACATCCGCTTCTCTCCCCGCTACTGCATGTCTTCTTTCATGTACTGTTCTGCGATATAACAGTGGATGCCATATTCTCGTTCAATATATTTGTGTTTGTGTTTGCGTTTCCTCTGTGGCGGTTCCAGCACCATTATTTTTAACCTCTGTTGTCAGTTGAAGATTATTATTTCAACTAATTACCTACAGGCTATATGTGTCATCTATCCCTATGATACACATATGTAGCCTGGATGGGACACATGTTAGAGTACATGCTGTGCTAGATCTCCCAGGCCCTTAGGTCCTCTATGCTGGAATTAAGTCACAAAACAAAAGTCTCCCACTTGAGTTATTGTGGAGTCTTTTCCACTCAAGCACAAGTGGAGATCTGTTTACATTCCAGCATTCACTTGTAAGAAGTTGTGCAGAAAAAAAGGTGAATAGCAACATAAGAACTATCACTGGCCAGGGTGTGAACCACCATAGACAGCATTGGGAAACAGTATTTGTTTGATAATAGAATGTGCTATCAAATTAACCTTGTGTTGTATTTCCAAAAATCCAAAAGGATTTCCCCCAGTATTTTACCAAAAAGACTCACTGGAGCTGTCATATAAATAAGAGTTACTGACCATATCAGGAACATGAATTACAATGACACCTTAGGTACATAATGTACTGTACACATAGTAGAGTCATTAACAGTGAATCAAGATATCTATGCTTTTAATCATATTTACTGAGAAACCATATGGTAACTTATTTCAAAGACCTATTCACAATCGGTCATTAAAGATGTGTAGGTTTTATAATGCTTGTTTTAATAAATCCTAAAGACACAAGTCAATGAATATATTATTATGTTATTACACACATCTTTGTGTTGATATGCAGCATATGTACATCAGCAACGTTATCATGTATCACATTTTAATTTACATGGTTTATTTTAGGGCGATTGTTTTTCTTCTGTTGGCTAAAGCCTATCTTCTCTACTGGATCTATCTTCTGTTATTGCGTAACACTTTACATTTAGCCTTCTTTCAGAAAACAAAAGATACATTTTGTGTGGCCTTAGCTCCACCCCATTCCTTTTCTCGTTTTCTTTCAGCCACCTCACTCTCGCGGCCGCTTGCTCGCTCGCTCTATCTCGATCTCCCACTCCCATAAATGCAGTGACACTTGCATTCTGTGTGCACGCGTGTGTGACAGACAGCGATAGTCGAAATAGGAAGTTAGGGCGCATAAGGAGAATAAAAAAAGGGGGAGTTTATGTATGCTTGTCACTGAGGGGAAAAGGAAGAAGAGAATTCAAGTAGCCGCCATATGCTGTGGATTTATGATGTCTTGCTGAAGTGAATGTCCTTTTTTGGGGAAAAAGATGGGAAGCTCGCATTTGCTGAACAAAGGATTGCCTTTAGGTAAACATTTACCTTTCATTTTGTGCATGGGACCAAATGTTAACTGTGATTGCGCTGTGTGGTGTGGACACATATCTGTGTGTTCAGTGTACTGTACAGTATTCTGCCTTCCCCTCCCCCCTCTTCCTTCTCCCCTCCCCTCTCTTTCTCTCTCCATTATCTTTCATCTCTCCCATTTAGACACTTACCATACCGTAATAACTTGCTTTCTGCTCCGAATGTGTTTCTGTTCAGCTGTTTTGGACATGGTCAGAGGAGATGTGTGTGTGTGTGAGGGGTTAGAGCCTTTCTGTGTTGATCCATGGAATGATTAGCCTCTAGCCTCCTGTGGAGATGAAGGACACAAATACTATTTCCCTCAAAAAATGTGAGGCAAGGACCACACAGCAGGTTTTTCCCGTTCATTGTGCAGTGGGGAACGGTGTTTCCAGTTCCGGTCTTGACTTGCTTCCTAATTTTCCTTTCAGGGGAGAAGGAAACTTTCATTCTAGAACGGTCTACTAGGGGAATACTTCAGGTTCAGGAAGTACAGAAAGCAGCTTTGTAGGTGCTTAGTACTGATGCTGCTATTGTGAATACTTCCATGTTTTCATACTGGTGTCTGTTACTTAGACATTTTTTATTATTGGATTCACAACAGCAGCATATTCTCTACAGTGGGGGTATTGTTTGATCTTCATGATTGATCTTTGTATGATTATTCATGTCTGGGCTCGTAGGGGTCTTCAGTTCTGTGATCAATGGATCGTGTCTTATCATTATTAAAATGGACACATGCCAATTCACCCCTGGGGTGCTCAAATTTGCAGAATTACCCACATACAAAACCCCCATATCATTATGGCCATGGAATGTCATGGATATTGGTGATAAAACATGCATTGTTTGTAATTCTTTTTGCATTTCTGTCATCTTTGATGAACACATGACTGAAACATGTATTGTAGACAAACCAGACGTGGCTTAGTGATCTGTGTACATGAGAGAGTGCTTGTGTGATTGTGTTATGCCTGTGTGTGTGTGTGTGTATCGGTGTATGTGTCTCGGTGAGAATGCATGTGTCCGCCCGCATGTGTGTGTGTGCTGGTAGTGGATGAGGGAGGGAGCTAGAGGAGAGTGTCTATACTCCCCTGGCTCATCTGGGAGGGAGATCTCCTGTGGGAACAACAGTGGGTAGAGACCATCACGCCATGTTTGTGCCAGATTGGCTATGATCATAAATCACACAGCTTGAGCTGCTCACAGGTGCACCATTTTCCCCTTTCCTTATGGTGGTTACAGTTACAATGCTACCTTTCATATGAATGAAAATATAGGTTTTATTGTGCTGTATTGAAATAGAATGGGCTGATTCCTGGCATGCTCACTGTAAAAAAAAAAAAAGGCAAATAAATAAAATAGAGCTATGTTTGAAGCATTTTACATTTGCATATTAGAGGACAGGTCTGATATCCTTGTAGAACACAACTGGGACTTTCTGAGGTGCTGACCTTATTTTCAGGAAGTAGCTTTGACTGTATGAGCATAGATGAGGGTTCACTGTAGCAGACGGAGGGGGGACAACCCTTAGGCCACGAGAGACACTGTAGAATATTGGACCCAAGGGTCGTTCCTACTGATTCTCACAAGGTCATATCCTCCACTGGAATGAAAGATATTTCCTTCCAGTTAGAAAGACCTCTGTAAATGTGTCAGTAAAATGTGGTAAAGTGATGATAGGGATCTTTTTCCATTCGGACTATTTCTCCCCGTTGATGTGTTCACATGAATCCCTTATTAGAGTAGGATGAATGCCATGCAGAACTGATGCTCATATTTTGACTAATTCCAGTGTTAATCCAGAAGACTGAATTGTGAAGTAGAGTACACTACATCCCATCGTTACTGTTATCTTCCAAACAAGTGGATGTACAGTTAAAACACAGATTATTTGGGACAATGAGTAGCATCAGTGTAGAAAATGTGACATATTCTAACAATTTGATGCACAGAGGATTTCCTGTTGCATTATTCTGTGAGTGAACTGTAGTGCAATTGACCCACACAGTTGCTCTTTAAAAATAAATTGGTTTCTCACTGTAGTGGTTTAGTCATTTATAGTTAATGCGAGCATGGCAGTTGGTTAAATGTCATTTATAGTTTAGTTACCACTCTCACCGTAATTTGAATGGCTAATTTGATGAATTGCACCATCAGGGGGTATATTTCTCATTTAGTGACTAATTTTCTATGAAAGGCTAGAGTCTGCTCCTGGCGACTTGTCAAAAACGTGCATGAAGATGACCTATACAATTTTTTATGGCTTTCCAGTCATGGACGCAATATTGCCTTATTAGAAACTGCAAATCATTCTGAAACCCAAATAAAGTATGAGACTCCTTTTTGGATTTAGTTTACTCGTATGGGGATCATTAACATACCAGCTGCCAATTAGATTTGTGGGGGTTTTAGGTGGAAAATAGTAAGCATGATCATAAACATATCACAACCCATACTGTAGACATACCTCTTTCCAGACTTACTGTCTGTGAGCGGTCCTTAACAGTAGAATATGATGTCAAATACAGAATGTTTACCCATCCTCTCTCTCTGTCTGCAGGCATCCGGCCACCAATCATGAATGGGCCCATGCACCCGCGGCCCCTGGTGGCCCTGCTGGACGGGCGTGACTGCACCATAGAGATGCCCATCCTGAAAGACGTGGCCACTGTGGCCTTCTGTGATGCCCAGTCCACCCAGGAGATCCATGAGAAGGTGCTGCCATGCCTCTACATGTTATGTCCTGCTCAGCTTCATTTACATGCTACCTATTTCAAGTTAATTAGACTTAAAAAAGACTCCCTGGCCTAAAAATAGTATTTGTTGAATATATTATATGCAAGACCATGTGCTGTTAAACAAGCTTGTTCAAACACTGTAATCAACAATGTCCTAAAAACGATGACACAAACAACTAATTTACAATGACAGAAATAAGCCTGACAAGTATACATATTTAAGTTAAAATAAATAGTTGAATCTCCCTAATTAGCAAAACAATACAATAGACTTTTATATTTTTATTTATTTTGCCTTTTGACCCTTGGTAGGCAGTCATTGTAAATAAGAATGTATTCTTAATTGACTTGCCTAGTTAAATAAAAGGTAAAAAAATTAATTATATATATATATAATAATAATATGCCATTTAGCAGACGCTTTTATCCAAAGCGACTTACAGTCATGTGTGCATACATTTTTACGTATGGGTGGTCCCGGGGATCGAACCCACTACCCTGGCGTTACAAGCGCCATGCTCTACCAATTGAGCTATATATAATAAGACCACCCAGTGCAACAAAGCAAAATTAAATATCAGAGGAAAATTGGCCATCCATACTTTCTGTAGTGCTGATTCCCAGTGTTGGTTTCTGGCGTGTTTTCTCCTGTTCTGGTTCTGAATGTATGGCAGGCTGAATCTTTGAGCTCTCCCTGGCCCTGTAGAAACAGATGGCACCCACACTCTCTCCTCATTGAGCTCTCCCTGGCCCTGTAGAAACAGATGGCACCCACACTCTCTCCTCATTGAGCTCTCCCTGGCCCTGTAGAAACATATGGCACCCACACTCTCTCCTCATTGAGCTCTCCCTGGCCCTGTAGAAACAGATGGCACCCACACTATCTCCTCATTGAGCTCTCCCTGGCCCTGTAGAAACAGATGGCACCCACACTCTCTCCTCATTGAGCTCTCCCTGGCCCTACAGAAACAGCTGGCACCCACACTCTCTCCTCATTGAGCTCTCCCTGGCCCTGTAGAAACAGATGGCACCCACACTCTCTCCTCATTGAGCTCTCCCTGGCCCTGTAGAAACAGATGGCACCCACACTCTCTCCTCATTGAGCTCTCCCTGGCCCTGTAGAAACAGATGGCACCCACACTCTCTCCTCATTGAGCTCTCCCTGGCCCTGTAGAAACAGATGGCACCCACACTCTCTCCTCATTGAGCTCTCCCTGGCCCTGCAGAAACAGATGGCACCCACACTCTCTCCTCATTCCCTTTCACAGGCCCATAACCACCCAGCTCCTTGCCTAATTAAAACATCCCCTTTCAGTTTAATTGAGCTACACGGTGGCTTTACACAGCACATAAAGGGAGAGGTGACAGAGCGTATGGTACTAGCTCCAGTTGAACCTACTATAAGAACCCATGTCGGGGCCTATGGAGCAACCACACCGCTATGGTTAATGAATTGCTTTGCATTCAGATGACACATTAGTTTGAAGTGGTCTATTTCTCTTATTGAAGGGTGCTGTATAACTGTCCTCTGGTGTACTGAACCTGAGTGTTGTGTTGGCAGGTACTGAACGAGGCTGTAGGAGCTCTGGTGTACCACACCATCACACTAATGAGGGAGGACCTGGACAAATTCAAGGCACTGCGGATCATCGTCCGCATAGGCAGCGGCTTCGACAACATCGATATCAAGTCGGCTGGAGATTTAGGTGAGATCCTGCAGTGCTCTTTCTCAACTTGATACGGATGTCCACTCAAAGACTTACCGGCTTTGAACTGATCACTAGGTCAAATCTTGTATTATTGTCTGCATGTTATAATATTCCATTTAAAATAAAGTGCAATTGCTCAGATCTCCATAATAATAATAAAAACGTTTTGAAACAGTATATAGGTCTATACCCACCTTACATTAGGAGGAACTGTTTACATTAGTCCTGTCGTCCAATAGGGATAGCAGTGTGTAACATGCCAGCAGCATCGGTAGAGGAGACAGCGGACTCCACACTGTGTCACATCCTGAACCTGTACAGACGGACCACGTGGCTCCACCAGGCGCTGCGCGAGGGCACCAGGGTCCAGAGTGTGGAGCAGATCAGGGAGGTGGCGTCCGGGGCAGCGCGGATCCGTGGGGAGACACTTGGCATCATCGGCCTCGGTTAGTGCGAGATATTACAGTACAGTGTTGTATTACAGATGGAGGATCTTCATCTGATCCCCCTATTGCAGGATAACTTTCCTGCCATGCAGGACATTTAAAACTTGCAGTGTATTTGAGGTTTAAAAAGGCTTCAGAAGTTTGTAATTTTCACTTTGACATTTCAGACTTGATTTTCCCTTACGAAAAATGTATCAACCTCTTCAAAAATGTCCATTAATTATAATCCACATAATAATTCACATTTCCTTTTGTTGAAGGATTCTTTTCCTGTTGTAGTGAACTGGCTCAAATTAAGATCCTACGTCTGTACATTGTATTACACTGCTCAACTGGCTGTTAGCTGAAGATAAGATTGTCGGTATAATGAATAGGAAATCGGTTGTTCAAATATGGGCTTGTTCAGTAGAGTTCGATGGCTTTTATGTATGCCATTTTGAGCTGTGATGTGTTACAAAACAGGCATAGTAAATGCTGTAAGGAATTCACCTTTATTGGATCTCTTTGCTGTAACTATTTACAGTTGAAGTCGGAAGTTTAAAACTCATTTTTCAACCACTCCACACATTTCTTGTCCTAACCGACTTGCCAAAACTATAGTTTGTTAACATCTACTTTGTGCATGACACAAGTAATTTTTCCAACAATTGTTTACAGACTGATAATTTAACTTAATTCACTGTATCACAATCACATACACTAAGTTGACTGTGCCTTTAAACAGCTTGGAAAATTCCAGAAAATGATGTCATGGCTTTAGAAGCTTCTCATAGGCTAATTGACATCATTTGAGTCAATTGGAGGTGTACCTGTGGATGTATTTCAAGGCCTACCTTCAAACTCAGTGCCTCTTTGCTTGACATCATGGGAAAATCAAAAGAAATCAGCCAAGACCTTAGAAAAAAATTTGTAAACCTCCACAAGTCTGGTTCATCCTTGGGAGCAATTTCCAAACGCCTGAAGGTACCACGTTCATCTGTACAAACAATAGTACGCAAGTATAAACACCATGGGACCATGCAGCCGTCATACCGCTCAGGAAGGAGATGCGTTCTGTCTCCTAGAGATGAACGTACTTTGGTGCGAAAAGTGCAAATCAATCCCAGAACAACAGCAAAGGACCTTGTGAAGATGCTGGAGGAAACAGGTACAAAAGTATCTATATCCACAGTAAAACGAGTCCTATATCGACATAACCTGAAAGGCTGCTCAGCAAGGAAGAAGCCACTGCTCCAAAACCGCCATAAAAAAGCCAGACTATGGCTTGCAACTGCACATGGGGACTAAAAATGATAGGAGTTTTTGGAGAAATATCCTCTGGTCTGATGAAACAAAAATAGAACTGTTTGGCCATAATGACCATTGTTATGTTTGGAGGAAAAAGGGGGACTTGCAAGCCGAAAAACACCATCCCAACGTGAAGCACAGGGGTGGCAGCATCATGCTGTGGGGGTGCTTTGCTGCAGGAGGGACTGGTGCACTTCACAAAATAGATGGAATCATGAGGAAAGAAAATTATGTGGATATATTGAAGCAACATCTCAAGACATCAGTCAGGAAGTTAAAGCTTGGTCGCAAATGCGTCTTCCAAATGGACAATGACCCCAAGCATACTTCCAAAGTTGTGGCAAAATGGCTTTAAGGACAACAAAGTCAAGGTATTGGAGTGGCCATCACAAAGCCCTGACCTCAATCCTATTGATAATTTGAGGGCAGAACTGATAAAGCATTTTCGAGCAAGGAGGCCTACAAATCTGACTCAGTTACACCAGCTCTGTCAGGAGGAATGGGCCAAAATTCACCCAATTTATTGTGGGAAGCTTGTGGAAGGCTACCCGACACGTTTGACCCAAGTTAAACAATTTAAAGGCAATGCTACCAAATACTAATTGAGTGTATGTAAACTTCTGACCCACTGGGAATGTGATGAAATTAATAAAAAGCTGAAATAAATAATTCTCTCTACTATTATTCTGACATGTCACATTCTTAAAATAAAGTGGTGATCCTAACTGACCTAAGAAAGGGAATTTTTACTAGGATTAAATGTCAGGAATTGTGAAAAACTGAGTTTAAATGTATTTGGCTAAGGTGTATGTAAACTTCCGACTTCAACTGTACTTGTCTGTGAATTACTCAAATGTCCATGTTGTGTTGTTGTCTGTCCTCAGGTCGTGTTGGTCAGGCTGTAGCACTGAGAGCCAAAGCCTTTGGGTTTAATGTGATATTCTACGATCCGTACCTGTCTGATGGGGTGGAGCGAGCCCTGGGGCTGCAGCGCGTCAACACCCTCCAGGACCTGCTCTTCCACAGCGACTGTGTCACCCTCCACTGCAGCCTCAATGAGCACAACCACCACCTCATCAATGACTTTACCATCAAACAGGTCGGGGCCGTGACACGCACATGCACGTACACAGACAGAAATATATTGACACTCACGCACAGAAGCCAACTGGATCCATGTCACTGCACTGGGGGATTTAAATCTACTAAGAAGACCAATGTAGCATGTCCTTTACAGTTGTGTCCTGCACTGTCTACATATTTTATATGGTGTGTTGTAGATGCGCCAGGGTGCGTTCCTGGTTAACACGGCCCGAGGGGGGCTGGTGGATGAGAAGGCCCTGGCACAGGCCCTGAAAGAGGGGAGGATCCGAGGGGCGGCCCTGGACGTCCACGAGACAGAGCCCTTTGGGTGAGCTAACTTAAAATTATTCTACTCTCTTCATTCCACTGATATTTATATGTCACTGTGTTGAAATGATGCTAACAATAAGTTCCCATGTTAGAGTTGAAGGATGGGACTAATAACAAATAACAACAAATAATAACAAAGATAGCTAATAATGTAAGCATACTGTGTCCATAATAAGTATATCGGTTGTATGTTGGGAGCTTTTGGGAAAGAGCACAGTTAGAAAGATATGGCATATAGAAGCAAACCGGATGGACATCATGAAAATGATCGGAGAGGTTGAGAGTAGAAGAAGTTCAGGAGCATAAATATATATAATTATTGTAAAATTAACTATGTCCATAAGGTGTAGATAGTAAGTATAGACCGGAAGTAGAGGCCTGGGCATTGTTGTTCACTAATTTACTCCAAGTAGGGAAAGGATGGCGGGGTTGAAAAGTAATAAAGGGGAGTATATATATAAAAAACATGGGGGATTGGAAGTGATGCAGACAATTACATTGATAGAAGATGCAATATTAAGCTGATCCCCCCCCCCCCCCCCATGTTTCTTCTGTCTCAGTTTCAACCAGGGCCCTCTGAAAGACGCTCCAAACCTCATCTGTACTCCCCACGCTGCCTGGTACAGTGAACAGGCTTCTATTGAGATGAGAGAGGAGGCAGCCAGGGAGATCCGACGAGCCATTTCAGGTAACACCGTTACACTAATCATGGGTATTCTCGGGTGGATTATTGTGTCAGGCTCCCATGCTTCCCTCTCACTAATAAACAACAGCAAAGCCACAATAACAACTCCCCAATAAGAACGTTGTGCTTCATCAATGACTGTTTCCTGCTTCCAGGTCGTATACCAGACAGCCTGAAGAACTGTGTGAATAAAGAGTTCCTGAACCAGACTAGTCACTGGGCCAGTATGACCCCTGCTGTCAGTCACCCTGAGGTCAATGGGGCCTACAGGTAATAACCCTACTGTTGATACAGAATAACACGTAGACTCAGGCACTGTATGCTACAGAGCTTTTTTAACTTTGCCACAGGCCAAAATAAAATGTTGGGTGTTATTTGTGGATGCTGGTAACTCATTTTCTGGTCTTCTTCTCATTCTCCCAGATACCCTCCTGGTGTTGTGAGTTTGGCCCCTGGGGGGCTCCCTCCACCTGTAGAGGGGATTGTTCCTAGTGCCGTGCCCATCACACACAGCCTGTCCAGCGCCGCCCATCCCCCTCACGCCCCCTCGCCGGGCCAGCCAGGCAAAGCAGAGTTGGACAGAGAGCAGCACCCCAACGACCAGTTGTAGCCCCGCCCCACAGAGCTCTCTGTCCAACCATAGAACTCTCCTGGTCGTCATCACCCCAAAGAGGAATGGAACTGAAGTGTCATGGGTTGTAAACAGCTGCCATGAAACAGACAGACTCACAGATGTCCATTACAGTTCATCTGGTCCAACCATAGTGGAGTCGTCGTATTTTTGAAACTTATTTTTTTGTGTAGAATTTTTTTGAATAATATTGTGGATTCGAAAAGAGACAAATATCCTTTAAAGCCAATCCTACTGTTTAGACTGTAGTTTGTCCAAGTAACGTGGACGAATATCTGTTTCTGTGTCCTATGGGTTCCTTGTTAAAGCAGAAGTAGTTGATTATAACATGAATGTAACCTGTTTGTGTACAGTTTTTAGAAATACAACCATTATTTGTAGTGCAGTCTAAAAGAAAAACAAGGGTGAAAACTAACCAACTGATTTTTATTTTTTCCCCAACAAGCCCCAAAAGAGGCAGCTTTTGCACACGTTCTCAGGAAATGGAGTTTCCCTAGTTCTTTTCCTTCTATACCACATAGTGCTTTGTTTTTCTACCTGCCTGCCTCTTTGGTCTATATTAGCAAAAATACTTTAAAGTTGCATTTGTCCTTTCAGTTTAAGGGGCATGTTGTTCTGTAGTCTTCAGCCTCTGTATAACTGTTCAAACTGTGCATTTTGGGAGAGAAGACCCCCCTGTCTTGTGCATACCTGACGTACTGCTTGCCTGTGTCAGTGTGACTTGATTGTAACGTGTCTGAGAAGAGAAGCAGCTCCCAGCCATACATTGCCTCTCTTCTGGTGAAGTAGTAGGTTAGCAATATACAGTATACATACTATATATTATAAATATCATTATTTTTGGTTAACCAATATCCAAAAAGAGATGTTTGTGACTGTATGCATTTGTATGAATTATTTTAAAAAATAAATAAAAGTCCCTGTTGAAAGGTTAAATGTTATGTCTTTGTCCGTTGGCATTCTGTCCAAGTTCTGATATGATTAGTCTTGTGTGCCAGGCTTCTAGGCTCTCCTATACAGTGCGATTAATTACTAAAATGAGATATGACAGGCTTTTCAAATAGGAGGAAGATGGATGCATTACCAACTGCCTCCACTTGATGGCACAATATATGCAAGGCTCAAGGCTATTGTGACTGTCTGAATTTCCATGTGATTATTCTTTTGATTTTCAATAAACATATTTCATCTCAAGGATACAGGAATAAAACCTTATTCATATTGCTTTAAAAGGCATGTTGCATGAAAACCTCTGATCTTGATTAATTCCATTTGTATGTACTATGTATTATACCTGGAATAGTATAACAGTAATCCTTCTACCCCACCCCCCCAGGTTGTCCCACTGGCTATGCACCAATTTGTAAGTCGCTCTGGATAAGAGTGTCTGCTAAATGACTTAAATGTAAATGTATGTGTTGGAACGTAGAAACCTATGCACTGAATAATACTGAACAAAAATATAAAAACGCAACAATTTCAAAGACTTTAGAGTTACAGTTCATATTAGGAAATCAGTCAATTTAAATAAATAAATTAGGCTCTAATCTATTGATATGCATCTGTTGGTCACAGATACCTTAAAAAAAAGTAGGGGCGTGACACAGCTCCTTCGCATAGAGTTGATCAGGCTGTTGATTGTGGCCTGTGGAATGTTGTCCCAATCCTCTTCAATGGCTGTGCAACGTTGCTGGCTATTGGCGGGAACTGGAACACACTGTTGTACATGTTGATCCAGAGCATCCCAAACATGCTCAATGGGTGACATGTCTGGTGAGTATGCAGGCCATGGAAGAACTGAGACATTTTCAGCTTCCAGGAATTGTGAACAGATCCTTGTGACTTGGGGCCGTGCATTATTATGCTGAAACATGAGGTGATGGCTTGCGGATGAATGGCATGACAATGGGCCTCAGGATCTCGTCACGGTATCTCTGTGCATTCAAAATGCCATTGATAAAATGCAATTATGTTCGTTGTCCGTAGCTTATGACAGCCCATACCATAACCACACCGCCACCATGGGACACTCTGTTCACAACGTAGACATTAGCAAACCGCTCGCCCACATAAAGTGGTCTGCGGTTGTGAGGCTGGTTGGACGCACTGCAACATTTTCTAAAATGACTGAGGCGGCTTATGGTAGAGAAATTAAAATTTAATTATCTGGCAACAGCTCTGGTGGACATTCCTGCAGTCAGCATGCCAATTGCACACTCCCTCAAAACTTGAGACATCTGTGGCATTGTGTTGTGACAAAACAAGTGGCCTTTTATTGTCCCCAGCTCGAGGTGCACCTGTGTAATGAGAAATTATATTTTTGTGCGTATGGAAACTTTCTGGGATATTTTATTTCTGCTCATGAAACATGGGAACAACACTTTACATGTTGGGTTGATATTTCTGTTCAGTGTATAAGAGGCATACTCAATCAAATATCAATCTACTCAGTTGTTACATTTTCTTGTTACATTTTCTTTGAGGCAACAGGGTTACTCTTTTTAGAGATGAATTATATGTGAATGTCAATATAAATTACAAATAAACATTTTTCTGCACAAATCTGACTAATTTCTCACTTATGGCTAACAATGTACACTAGTAACAATCATGGTATATTCTGTAAGACATGGCAACAGTTGGCGCCCCTCTAACAGACGTGAGTGGGGCTGCTGGCATGGACAACGGAAAGAGCTGTGTGTTTTTTTCACTCTAAATTACAATCTCTGGAAAAGGCTGAAGAGCAGCTGGAAGATGTTTCTCTCAGAGCATTAAAAGCAGATGGAGTCAAGGCTTGATTGGTATCCTACCTTGACGTTCTTCCTCTTTCATGTCAACCCGTCCAACAAACATTTGGCTCCTCTCAACACTTAAATCATCATTTGTTATTTATGTTCCTATATGGATGTGTTCGCTGCCTGCGTGGTAGGCCCAGCCTTCACAGATGAGTTCAGCAGTGACTGAGACGCTGCCTGCGTGGTAGGCCCAGCCTTCACAGATGAGTTCAGCAGTGACTGAGACGCTGCCTGCGTGGTAGGCCCAGCCTTCACAGATGAGTTCAGCAGTGACTGAGACGCTGCCTGCGTGGTAGGCCCAGCCTTCACAGATGAGTTCAGCAGTGACTGAGACGCTGCCTGCGTGGTAGGCCCAGCCTTCACAGATGAGTTCAGCAGTGACTGAGACGCTGCCTGCGTGGTAGGCCCAGCCTTCACAGATGCGTTCAGCAGTGACTGAGACGCTGCCTGCGTGGTAGGCCCAGCCTTCACAGATGCGTTCAGCAGTGACTGAGACGCTGCCTGCGTGGTAGGCCCAGCCTTCACAGATGAGTTCAGCAGTGACTGAGACACTGCCTGACAGGATTTCCAGACTTCCTCCCAGCTCTCTCTGAACAGAGCTGCAGTTGGTTGAGTTTGGGCAGAGCTGCAGGTGGTTGAGTTGGGGCAGAGCTGCAGTTGGTTGAGTTGGGGCAGAGCTGCAGTTGGCTGAGTTGGGGCAGAGCTGCAGTTGGTTGAGTTGGGGCTGAGCTGCAGTTGGCTGAGTTGGGGCAGAGCTGCAGGTGGTTGAGTCGGGGCAGAGAGACAGAGAAATATACAAGACATTGAATGGAAAGGTGTTATAATAATAATATAATATGCCATTTAGCAGACGCTTTTATCCAAAGCGACTTACAGTCATGCGTGCATACATTTTGTTTTGTTTTGTGTATGGGTGGTCCTGGGGATCGAACCCACTACCTTGGCGTTACAAGCACCGTGCTCTACCAGCTGAGCTACAGAGGACCACACACTGGGTTATAGATCCATATGCAATGTTTGGCTTTTCCATGCCAAAGTGGGTTGTGGCATTAGTATGACCAAAAGTTTTGTGAGAAGTGTTTTAGTTTAGCCGGCACATTGTACGGGAGCAGGAGAATGTGCTCACTTGTAGAGGCGCCATGCCCATAGCGGGCACAGAGGCACGCGCCACCTCAGATTGGTCCTGTACATTATTAGTTTTTACTTTTTGGTTTGTTTTTTTCTCTGTAATATTACAAAACACTTAGCAAATTTATGAAGTTGGCTTTAGCTAGCCCAGATAGGTTCCCAATCTCCCAACCTCATAACTAGCTAACATGAAGCCGTTTCAGGCTATCAAGTTAGAGTAGCTAGCTTGTCAACTATCTTAGCTGGCATGCCTGCTGGCAAGGTTGGTAGACTTTAGAAAAGCAAGCAATATCTAAATGTACTGAATAAGACTCACATTCCTTTCAATCTTTTACCCAGATTTTAGCAGAGATGCAGAGAAGCATATTTAGTTTCTTAATTTTTTTTTTACCCCAGTCAGGAGGATACAGACAGCTCAATAGGTATTGCTTAGATATGCAGAAAAAACAAACACATTAACATAGAATTAAGCATAATGACTATGTTTTTAGATTGCAGGAAAAAGTTTGATCCAATTTATGGACAGTGGTGTAAAGTACTTAAGTAAAAATACTTTAAAGTACTACTTAAGTTGTTTTTTGGGGTATCAGTACTTTACTATTTATATATTTTTACAACTTTTATTTTTACTTCACTACATTCCTAAAGAAAATATGTACTTTTTACTCCCTACATTTTTCCTGACACCAAAAAAGTACTTATTACATTTCGAATGCTCAGGCAGAACAGAATTATGGTCCGATTCACGCACCTATCAATATAACGCATTGTCACTCCTACTGCCTCTGATCTGTCGGACTCACTAAACACAAATACTGCATTTGTAAATGATGTCTGAGTGTCAGTGTGACCCTGTCTGTCCGTCCGGTTTGCTTAATATAAGGAATTTGATGTATAGAATGTACTTTTACTTTTTACTTTTACTCAAGTAACATTATGACAATTGAGTACTTTTTCCACCACTGTACTAGTAAAAGTAAAGATAACTTTGACAAGTAGTCAAGTAAAAGTAAAAGTCGCTGGGTAAAATACTACTTGAGTAAAAGTATCTGGTTTTAAATATCCTTAAGTATGACAACTGAGTACTTTTTCCACCACTGCTTACAGTACTTTGTGCCCACTCAGAAATGTTGGGTGCATGACGCCCTTGGTCACTTAGATGCCTGGTCCTCCTCTCAGCTCACAATAAAACTAGTGTGCTCCACTGTGAAAAGAAGGGTAATGTCTTAAACCCAGTTCCAACACCTACATAGCCTACATTTATACAGAAGCCAATTGTCCACATTATAAATAAAGAAAACTTAAAAGGCTGAGTGCTTTGATAGTTTTTTAAACCAAAAGACAAGGCTATAACCGGCAATTCGCTCTATAACACTTACAACAATCATTATTTTAAGTGTAATTGTTTTTGTAGACCCATATAATATTGTGGATTGAGTAAAAGTTGGAATGTAAGGTAAACAATTGGGCAAAGACTGTCATGAGATTGGAAAACAGTTCAACTTGACCATTGGAAAGGAGGGGGATGGGGCATAAAAAGACTACTAAAACAGAGGAAGGATGTTTTATGTGTCGATTAAGAACAGTCCGGTTTGGCTATGCAAACATTTAGGCCGTATTTTAGTTTTCATTTTCCATCGTTAACGGCCACGTTTTGAGAAACGAGACTGTGAGAGGAGATTGACCCACTTTCAGTCTGGTTATGTTGTCCAGTTGTGATTTGAACGGGAGCTGTTGTGTGCCATGTGGTTTTCATCAAAGTTTTGGCTAATAGGACCTCGGTGGTACCTTTACAAGCTTATGTAAGAGATTCCCTCAGAAAGACACTGGTCTTTTATTGACGGAAGACAGTTTCAATGCCTGCTAACATCCTTTCTTTTAGTTCTAGCCCTCACAATACTCAAGGTCTATTTTCTTAGCTATAATCTGAATGATGACTTGTCAGCACCGATGGGCTTGCACCTAGACTACATGGGAAATCATGCCTTTTGTATTAAATGCACTCATTTTACCTGTCTCAAAACAAAGTGAAATCCCAAGCTTTTCCAAAGCTAAACCACCATTATTTCCCCTTAAAATTGACTCATGATTCCAAGAACCTATTCAAACATCTGGAGAGCAGTATTGTTTG